CCCCCCCCGCAACAGGCACTTCCAGTATGTCCTCTGTTTTAGTTCCTTTGTAGTGCTTGTTATTTGCAATTACAGTACCTTGTCTTATTTATGTACCGGCTTATCACTTGTCTCTCCCCACCCTACCCGAATGTAAAGTCCAAGAGGATGCCTATGTCTGTTTTCCTTGCTATACCTTGGCACTTAGAATAGTACCTAGTACATGGTAAATGCTTAGTAGATATTTTTTTGTTGTTGTTTTTTGTTTGTTTTTTCTTTTCTTTCTTTCTTTTTTTTTTGGCTGCGTTGGGTCTTCGTTGCTGGGTGCAGCCTTTCTCTAGTTGCGGCGAGCAGGGGCTACTCTTCCGTCACAGAGCACGGGCTCTAGGCACGCGGGCTTCAGTAGTTGCAGCATGTGGGTTCAGTAGCTGCGGTGCACGGGCTCTAGGGCACACGGGCTTCAGTAGTTGTGGCACACAGGCTTAGTTGCTCCACGGCATGTGGGATCTTCCTGAACCGGGATGGAACCCGTGTCCCCTGCATTGGCAGGTGGATTCTTAACCACTGTGCCACCAGGGAAGTCCCTGTAGATATTTGTTAGCTGGATAAACAAGAAAGAGCAGACAGCACTTGCCCTGTGCTGAGACAGCTCTGCTTGACACACTGTGCCTGGTTCTGCTCCCCCCTCCTTGGTGGCTCCTCCACTCTCCAGCTCCCCCTCCTCTTTGACTCGCCCCCTCCAGTACTGGTCACCCCTGGACCTTCACACCCTCCCTCTCCTGACTGCCCCTTGCCCAGTGCCCAGGCTCCCTTGCTTACCTGTTCACAGCTCCTGTTGTTCATTCACTGAGCCATGCAAATTCTATGGCAGAAGCCCCTCAGGAGTACCTTTCTTCCCAATTCCAAGGTCAGCAAACAAGAGCAACTGCAAGAAAGAGTCTTGCTTTCTAGCTTTGTCCCACTCCTGATCACTTCTACCTGGGGACAAACGCCAAACAGATCTCTCATGTGCAGGCTCTTCCCACAGAACACACTCCACACTGTTTGACAAAGACATCATTTTTTTTTAAGAATATTTCTTTTTTTTAATATTTATTTATTGGCTTCATTGGGTCTTAGTTGCGGCATGCGGGCTCTTCCTTGTGGTGCACAGGCTCTCTAGTTGTGGTGCATGGGCTTAGCTGCCCCGCAGCATGCAGGATCTTAGTTCCCTGGCCAGGGATCAAACCGGCGTCCCCTGCATTGCAAGATGGATTCTTAACCACTGGACCACCAGGGAAGTCCCGGCAAAGACATCTGATGGGACCTGGCAAACAGCCTTGCTACTGCTCTGGGATTTTCTATGGCTCCTCAGTGCCTACAGGGTGAACTCCAAGTGCTGGGATCCTTGGTCCTCCCAGATTGGTCCCACTTCTCTGGCTGCATCTGTCATCCATTATTCTTTACTTCCAATCTTTATGTTTCAATCAAGTGGAACTGCCAACCATTCCCTATACATGCCCATCTTGGTTGAAATCTTTCTCATCCTTCAAGGCCAGTTTGAACCACCTCCTCCAGAAAACCTTCCTCGGTCTCCTCTTAGTCCCCCTCACATATTATTTTGTGTTGTATTTGAATAATAACAATAACCAATGTTTATTAATAAACACTAATATGCAAGGCACCATTCTGTGTTATCTCACTTAATCATTATGTCAGTCTTATGAGGTAGGTGCTATTATTATCCAGGTTTTATAGATGAAGAAACTAAGGCAGAGAGAGGTAACTTGGAGCAAGAAGTGATTTGCCCACGACTGCAGAGCTATAAAGCAATTGAGTCAGGATCTGAACCCAGACAGTCTGACTCCAGAACCCATGCCCTTAACCTTTACTCCATGCTGTGTCCCTCTTTTATCCTTTTTAGGAAATAAGGCTCCTTTGCTGCTTCCTCTGCCTAAAAATCTCACTACGTACCAATTCCTCTTAATGCTATGGGAAGCACAACCACCTCCTTCTCCAAGCTACACTTCCTGGCATATCACCAACCAGGATGGGTTAAGTGGTGCCTCTGGACTTCCTCCATCACAGCCCAAATCACTGTTTTGAACACTGGACTTGAGTCAGTGTCCCTGGCGCCCTGCACAAAACCCCAGTCTTCAGACGGTGTTTGCTGAATAAAGGAAATTAGCCTTCCTCATCTTGGGATTCCCTTATCACCTGGCAGTCTCTCCAACAGAAGCCACTCAATATATGGTCACTGAATGTTGACTGCCAAAGGTCT